AGATTTTTGTAAAGTTAAATAGCGTATGTAAAGCGCTTAATATCGCTTAATTTAAGTTGAATTATGGAGCGTTTTATTGCCCTAAAAAGGTCAATCACCCCCCTGAGATTTTTTTTTTAATTCCTAAATTTTCAGTCATGAATGCGGACAGTATCATACTAGCTTTTAAAAGAGGGAAAACATGACATTGCCATTGTGGGAACATTTTTTTATATTTTTCCTTTAAAAGGGTTTTGCTTTTTTTCCTGTGTATACCAAAACCAGCGGATAAGAAATAAATACCCTATTTTTCCTCCTTCTTTCCTTTTTTCCTTCTCTCTTCATCATTTCTTCCACTTTCCCTTCCCTTTTTTCAATTTCCCCTTATCTTTCCCTTTTTTCTTTTTTCTTATTGCCCCCAAACCCCTTAAAAATATACACCACTGAGTACTGATAAACTCATATTATTAATTTAATTGTTCTTAATTCATTTTTCTGAATTTTGATTATTTTTAGACCTAAAAAGAAGAAGAAGGCGGGTGGAGAGAATGGAGAAGGGAGTTCAAATCTTCAACCCAACGAAATAGAAATAATCTCAATTTTAACAGTTTTGGTAACGGACAGAGCATTAAAGGGACTCTCGACTTTATTTCAAGTTAATCTCCATTTGAGGAGGGAATTGTCAGAGTCTGACGACGAAGAAATCATTCTAAAATCTTAAATTTCAGAATATATTTTGGTTCACGAAATTGGTAATTTTCCATAACTCTCATAAATTAAGAATGTGTCAGGGGTTTAAAATGTATATTTTCTTGAAAATCATTCCTCCGCTCATAGGAAAACTTAATTTTTTTTAAAAGGCTTTTTCTCAATTGGGAAAATAAATCTTTAGGGAAATAAATAAATTTTTGAGTTTAAAGGCTAAGAAAGGATGAATTGAATAAACTTGCCTTTTGATGTTCTATTTTTCTTCCAGATCTTCAAATAAATATACAGTTGTTGACGGATAGAAAACAAGATTCTCTAGATGAAATGATAAAAAGCCCACAGGAATCCGTTGTTGAAGGATATATATTTCCCAACAATATTTTCCGATCACAACAGCAACAACAGAATGAACCCCCGTCTCAAAAAAATCGATAACAAAGAATTCTCTTATTTCCTGAAAAGATTACATATATGATAACGTGTACGAATGTTAAAATGAATGTTTACAATGAAAAAATTCTTACGATCTAATAGCTGATGACAAAGGGGTTAACAATAGTTGAACAGCACTAAAAGACGTTTTAAACTTCTGAAATAAAATGACAATTAATTATTAACGAAAGTCACTAATTCTTTATATGAAAATATTCTTTGTTTAACTTTTGAAAATGGATTCACAATACGCGAGGTTGTTTACGACTCCGTCAGGGAGAACAAAGAAAAAGGTGGTTAAAATTGTTTGGTTTGGTGTCTCCGAGAGGGGACCTAAGTTAAAGACGACTTTACATGGAGCCTATTGTTAAAGGTTGACAACAGTATACACCCCTAGAATGTTAAATTATTTAAATTTTGTATTTGCAAATATATATAATTAGACACTTCTCCTTCATGATGCATCACGGTGAAGGTTTAATTTCAAATATATCCGGAAATATTTTAGTTGACTTATTGGGTGAGAAGAGTACTCGATATATTAAAACCTGCCTGGAGGCGAGTATCGATCATCTAACTAAATTCATGGAACTCAGATTAAAGGTATTGTACAACACAGTTTTTGATTAACTTTTAGAAAACATTTTTTCTCTCCATTTTTGTAGAAAATAACGAAAATATTTATCCGTCCTATGGATTTGAAAACAAATCCTGGTTTTAAGTTTCTCATCAAATTTTGATTGTAATTACTTATTATTTCCTAATAACATTGGGGTCAATTTTAGGTAAAACTTGCTTAAAGAGACAATTCTTCGGTTTTAATTTTCAAATGAAAATTGCACGTTTGTTTTTTCAGTATGAATTGTTTCCAGATGTACACAATAGCATTACAATGGCATCCCATGACGCATTTTCTGTACTTATGATTTAGTGTTAATTTGTCTGTGTATGTTGAGTGTTTACGTATCTATGGGTATATGGTATCTAGGTAGAGCTGGAGAAACCAGAAGAAGAAAATCATTTATCGGATAATGTGGAGAATATTAAACTCTTCGTTCAATATTCAGGTAAATATGTGTTTAACGGTTTAAGTGACCCGACATTCAAAAAGGGAAATGACCGAGTAACCACAGTACCCTAAACACCTTTGACTGTTTATCGAGAAATGAGAGCTCTGCGCGTGAATCTTTAAAAATCGTTCTAAAACCCGGTGTATGCTGCATAAAGTGTGAACTTAAAACAGCTGATCAGTCACTAGTGTCCCTTAAAAAGATTGATAAGTTCACGTCAAAAAACAGTTCTCAAACATTCGAAAGTAAATATGTCTAATATTCTTAATCATTCAAAGGTTTACAGAGTATCGTTGTGAATCGTGAATGTAAGGTTACTTTAAATTACGCTTGAAGTCCCTTTAAATTACGCGTACAGTCCCTTTAAAGACATAGAAAACTTTCAAGTAAACCTCCATTAAGGTTTTCAACAATCAATTAAATTAGGTAGTCATGACTGACAGACATTCGGTGCATTGGTCATGCATGGGTGCAACAACTTGCTAACAGCCACATGTATAAATCTGATTTTACTAACATTTCCTCAGATTGACAAACTTCGCGATTATTTTTTTAATATCTGCGGAGGGATGGTTTGATGTTTGTTGGTTTGTTTTTTTACAGTCAGATTTACAAACACAACTTCGGAACTACAAACAAAACAATATACAGGAGTCTAATTACAAACAACACGTCTGAACTACAAACATATCATTTTACAGTCCAGTCAGATTTCAAACAAAACTTCTGAACTACAAACATATCATTATACAGGAGTCAGATTTCAAACAATACTTCTGAACTACAAACATATCACTATACAGGAGTCAGATTTCAAACAAAACTTCTGTACTACAAACACATTATTATACAGGAGTCAGATTTCAAACAAAACTTCTGTACTACAAACATATCATTTCACAGGAGTCAGATTTCAAACAAAACATCTGAACTACACACATTACTATACAGAAGTCAGAATTCAAACAATACTTCTGAACTACAAGCATATCATATACAGGAGTCAGATTTTAAACAGAACTTCTGAACTACAAACACATTATTATACAGAAGTCAGCTTTCAAACGGAACTTCTGAACTACAAATACATCACTATACAGGAGTCAGATTTCAAACAAAACTTGTTATGACTATCTATCAATCTGCAGCTTGTCCTTGTTGTGACTATCTATGCAGCTTGTCCTTGTTATGACTATCTATACAGCTTGTCCTAGTTATGACTATCTATCTATCTGCAGCTTGTCCATGTCATGACTATCTATCTAATCTTATCTATCTGTAGTTTGTACTTGTTATGACTATCTATCTATCTGCAGCTCGTCCTTTTTATAACTATCTATCTATCTATCTGTAGTTTGTCCTTGTTATGACTATCTATCTATCTGCAGCTTTTCGATGATATGACTATCTATCTAATCTATCTATCTGTAGTTTGTACTTGTTATGACTATCTATCTATCTGCAGCTCGTACTTGTTATAAGTATCTATCTACCTGTAGTTTGTACTTGTTATGACTATCTATCTATCTGCAGCTCGTCCTTGTTATAACTATCTATCTATCTGCAGTTTGTCCTTGTTATGACTATCTATCTATCTGCAGCTTGTCCATGTTATGACTATCTATCTAATCTATCTATCTGTAGTTTGTACTTGTTATGACTATCTATCTATCTGCAGCTCGTACTTGTTATAACTATCTATCTACCTGTAGTTTGTACTTGTTATGACTATCTATCTATCTGCAGCTCGTCCTTGTTATAACTATCTATCTATCTGCAGTTTGTCCTTGTTATGACTATCTATCTATCTGCAGCTTGTCCTTATTATGCAAGTGTTTTTTTTTTCCTATTTATTTACATTCCATCACTTTTACTGTCTCTTACCTTGTAATGGGACATAGCATGGGTGGTTTTTTTTAAACTTTTAAAGTTTTTGGACTCTAACAGAGGTTCCCAAAAAAATCTGATAAGTTCTACAAATTTCAAAATGGTTAATAATAAAATTGTGCATTTTTAACACTTTACCAAAAATGATCGTTTTACCTTTATTAACCCATAAAATATAAATATTGCGAAGTTTAAATTTAACTTAAGCAAACTTTTACAGAATACAATTTTGAAATGTTGAAAGTTAATAGTGTTTGTATGGTGCCTTTAAAAAACAAAAGCCATAGACAAACAAAACAATGTCCCATCACTTGTCTGGCCTATTATAGATTTAATGATATAATTTATTTTACCCGCATACAATTGATTTTTTGATAATATTTTGGTAATTAAAGCTTCAATTCTGAAGCGCTAAAAATCAAGCCCTAATTAGATTCTAAATAATGAAATGAATTATGCAGGAGAATATTTCGAGTTGACCGGACCTGAAACCTTAGAGATGGTGAAGGAAGATTATTGGAAGGTAACCTCCTTTCTTATTCTTATTCTTCAAAGTTAACTTTTTAAAGAAGTATAACGGGACGGGCCTGAGGGAAATGATAATGTAGTTACGCTTACCTCTTAGGTTTGCAGTCTCTACTATTGAACAATTAAAGTAACTCCTAGCTATTTCCTTTTTTGTCTCTTATTAAATTGATATGATTCAGAAATAAGAGATGTTTTTTTTCAGAAGAATACGAAACCATTAGAGCTCTTCTACAATTTTGACCTGACAGCGGCAAAGGAGGTTTAACAGCTGCTGTAACTGTCACAAATGTGAAATGTGTATATTTATCTAAATGCAACATTTTGAAACGTCGTGATTTAATAATTCCACGTGACCTGATGATTATCATTAATTTTTGTCTATAGAGAGTTTAATTTGAAGATTTGCAAGAGTGCATATAATTTGAAATTGCTCCACGCGACCGGCGGGTTTCCCGACGCTCTAGCACCCTCGTGCTTAAAGCGATCCAGCTGGCAAGCAATTTGAAACTGGAATGTGCATTGTGCATCTATAAATCATTTAAGAAACTGTTATTTCAAATAAGTCTTAAATAAAGAAAGGAATATCCGATTCTTTTATAACGACATCCTGGAAACCTTAATTCTATCAAAAACGCGGAAGATATCTTCATTTTTGGGTTTGAAAATTGATTAAATCTGACAATTTTCTCCATTTTTCTGTTGCAGAATACTACAAGTCACTTTTAAAGAGAAGCCACAGTTGAAAATAATTAATTTTTATAGTCAAAAACATATATGTCTCATTCATTCTTGATCATATATATTTTTTTAATGAAACTGTTGAAGAAAAATTGACATAAAACTGAAAGGTTTCAGATTTCAGGAAAAGAGACAAGATTCATGATTTTAAATGATAGCTCAAAGAATCTTGATTCTGTATTATTATTATATTAACAATCAACCTACAGTGTACTGTTTAGTCTAATGAACCCAATCATTGTGTTAACAGTTTAATATTTGTTATATAAAACTAAAATATTCTTGATAATGTTCGCCTACCATTCTAAATTATTTTTTTTTCAAAATATTAAAAATATTTGTTAATTATTCCTCTAAGATCTCAATACTTTTCAGATTGAAAATGTTGGTGGGACGGATTGGATCCCTGATCTCCTCTCCCTGTAGACGAGGAGTGCCTAGATATATCCTTGAACCTAAACAATACAACCGCACCATTATCCTTCTCTACTCAAAGGAAATTAACAATGAAAGAACCAATCAATTAGATAAAAATTAAGTTTGCAAGAACTAGATTTCTTTGAACCAACTCACTAGAGAGGTCTTGGATTATAAGCAGAAAATGGGGGAGGCGAGTAATTCTATTGGATGGAGAATCATAAAATGAATAGAAATAAAAGCAGAAAAGGATGAAAAAGGCAAGTTATGGAAGAAAAAGGTTGAAAGATAAGAAAAGATTTGCAAGAAAGTACGAAAGGGGGAAAAATTCCCCCCCATTTTTTAGCGATTTCAAAAAAATGATGTTAAAAATCTCGACTTAGGAAATTGATCTTAATTTCGGCGAAAATTTGGTCTTAAATCTAAGAGTAAGAACAGGTTTATAATTTTTTTNGCAAGGGCCCGTTATGAAATTTGGCTAATTTTGTAGCTGACCAGAGGATAAAGTTAACAAATACAACATACCTGCATAAATGTTATTAATTGGAAGTGGAGGAGGGGGGTCTTCTGAGTCTGGGGAATACCAATCAATCATTGGTTTGATCAGGATCGAGGAGGTGGACGTGGAGGTAAGGAGACCAGAGAGAATATGGGATTCGCGGGAGTTATTTTTCTGGTAAATATTATTATCAAGTTCTGTTACTACATACATCTACGTATTGCAAATATTCCGATATTAAAACAAGAATAATCATTAGTGTGCAGCAATTTTTGAAATTTTCATAATTTTTAATCATCAATTTTTATTCTCTCCATGTATTATTTGGCTTGTTGGTTTGTATCCATTAAACCCCGAAACGGACGAACTAAGCGTGCTCAATTCTTTGGTATATCACGACTCTAGATAAGGTTTGTAACAGAGCCAAGTGACAAATTAACATCCGCATTCTGCGTTATGTAATATCCACAATGTTTACAAGTGGTAAGTCAGGTGTGATGTTACTATCCGCTAAACTTTTAATTCCACATTGTGTAAAAAAAAAATGTCGACTTGAATAGCAACATTTAAAACCTAGAATTGATAACAGAAAGAACGCTTTGCGCACAACTTGAGAAATAATTATGAATTAATGCTGCACTTATTTATAATTAGCATCCAAAAGTACAGACAGACTTGCCGAAAGGGAAAATAGGTGTGAGTCGGAGACTATAGGGGTAAGCGCATGCCGCAAATATCATTTTGTGACGTCGTAAAATGGGTGTGGGTCGCCTTCCCCCCATAGTTGGTCAGCCATCGTTTCTTGTTGAAGTTGTTTTTTTACTTTGCCTAATCTTAAATCTTAATTCTCATCTTAACAGATACATATTCTTAGGTTGTTCCTATCTCAACATTTTGTCTAGGAATTTGGCAATATAACAGGTTTAAATTTATTTTATATTTTATAACATTTTCCTAACCTTTGCCAACTTCGCCGTTGTGTTTTATTACTTCTATTGATCGAAGAACAAGAATTAATCGCCATATTAAGAAAAGCACAAATATTTTCTGTTGAGTAACTATTTAAATTTTAAATGGATTCAATGCTGGTTAATGAGCATGAATGTTAAAATGTTAAAAAGAAGTTGCTTCTTTTAATATAATTTTAGCAAATCATAGAAGCAAATTTCCAAATTAATTTTTATCAAACTTGCAATTATATTAATTTTGCTTGATTTTGTACTTCATACTTGAATCGAAAATATTTCGTCTCTGAAAGTAAAATATTGATAATAATTCAGGACCTAAAATCAAATTCTGTCCTAACCCGAGGTGTTCTATCTGCGAAAGTAAAAATAGACTTTTCATAAATGCGTTTCATTCAACTTCAACCCTGTTTTTTCCCTCGTATATCCGTTTTGACTTTCTGGATCTGGTTCTGTAGAAATATATTAATTCATGAATATTGGTGTCAAACTACTAATAAACTATAAAAAGAACTTCTTTTCATCTTTAAATCCAATTGTCGACTGATGACAGTTTGTTTAACATCCCTATATCTTACATATGTATAATTTGCCAATGAAGTTAGTTAAACTTGCAGAAATTTTTTTTAACTGGGCCTGGATTAATTTTTTTTTTACAGTAAACGAATGAAGTATCCGTATTAAAATGTAATATATTATAACCAGTACTTTGTTGTATGAAGACGTGACTGGAAAATCAAGAAAATTGAGGAACTAGATTACAAAGTGAAGAAGTCTCAAGTACAAGATCTACCCACCAGGTGCCATAACAATAGAAATAATCATCACAATTTTTTAATTATAACATATTTATGCAAATGAAGAGATATTTTTTTAAATCACACATTACACTTTAAGAGAATCCGTCAAGTAAGAATAATAATGTTATTGTTACTGTTATTATTATTCTCATTATTATTTTTTTTTATTTATCATTATTTTTATTGTTATTATTATTATGTTATTTATCATCATCATTATCATCATTTAATTTTCTTATCGGATTTACTATGCAGCCAAATCAGCAATAATATACTATTTTAATAATTATTATTGTCATGTTTTATTTTAGATTAGAAGATTTGTCAGATCCTGAGATGGAATATTTAAGAATTAAAGTTCGAGGACATTTTGATAATAGTCAAGAAATATATATTGGACCCAGGTTACAATAGTTTGATAATAGTCAAGAAATATATATTGGACCCAGGTTACAATAGTTTGATAATAGTCAAGAAATAGATATTGAACCCAGGTTACAATAGTTTGATAAAAGTCAAGAAATATATATTGGACCCAGGTTACAATAGTTTGCATTTATGCGTTCTAAATAATATTCTGATAATCGTGTTCTTTCTTTAATTTTTTAAATTTTTATTTTCTTAACATGATTTTATTTTTCCAAAGTTTGATATCATTTTAGATAATCTTACCTTACAATATAATTTGAATGGTTCCCCATTTCAAGAGTGTGGTGACAGCGGTGTTCTTAATTCCTTTATCTGAGCAACAATAAGGAAAATATCGTCGGTATTCTATCTAGACAACAGTTAAATTCTTCCTTCTGAAATTTAGGCAATTTCCATTTTTACGTGTGCTGTTTAAATCCTCTTGTAACCACAATTGAGAACCCAGAGATCGAATACAAAGAATTAGAACCGTTCAAACATGGTTGGTTCATCTTGAAATTTTAATCAGTGTTTAGAGATTTAAGCGAGCGTGCAATTTTAACCGTTATTTGGCGGTTCAGCGACGGGGTTCAAATTTATTAAATTCGACCTCTGAAACATAAATTTTTGAGAAAAAACGAGAATATTATCAAAACTGAATTAAGATTCTAATGATAAAAAATACCAGACCCCTGTTTAGATCTCTTTTGGATACCAGCGGAGGAACTTCAGGTGGTATAATATCGTCAGGAGATAAGGTTGGTGTGAACATCATCAGTAGGGGCGTAAACAGGAATGTCGCCAGGTGGAGGGGGGGGGGGGGGGG